TGTGTGTGTGTGTGTGTGTGTGTGTGTGTGTGTTACAATCATCACCTGCATTTTCTCTCTCCAGCTGGTCAATCCTGGACTTGCTGAGGAGAAGTTCACTCTCACTGCTGCTCAGTCTGGTCTGTAAGTCTGGAGTTAATGCAGTCACAGTGAATTACAGAGCAGAGCAGACTGTTAACATGCACAACAAGACCATCAGCTCAGCTTTCAGGTCATTCACCTGGCTCTCACTGTCCTTCACTCTGGCCTCCATGTTCCTCAGCTCCACCTTGAGCTCCACCACCTTGTCACATGAATCAATGTTCCTACACTGGATCTTTCATATTGTTCTATTATCACTATTGGCTCATTAAGTAAACAAGTGGGTTAACTGCACCTTGATCAGAAAAAAGCTCCCACACAACATCTTCCATCATTTATTATTTAACATGTAACACTTAGCTCCCATGTTATATCAGGTGACATATCTCATTTTATTCATCATATGTGTTCACAAGAGCACCAAGGACATAACTGTAACCCCTGACTAAAGTCACAATACATTCATCTAAATCTGCACGATAAAAATGGATCTGTTGTAAAACACTGACACATTAAGAGTCACTGTTGTTATATGTAATATTTTGACAGTTTCTTGGCTCTTTTTCCTTTTTAAATAAAATAAATATGAAATTATGCTTAACAATATGTATATGGAACCCTACCACAGGTTAAAATAATTAAATAGAAAATAATAAGCCATTAAACTTATTAAACCATCATGTTTGTCAGTGAAATACCTGCATTCACTTTTTCTAGGTCACTTGTTTTGCTCTCGGTGGCAGTCAGTCTAGTTCCCAAAGATATCAGGTCTGTGGCTTGGACTGAAAACAGAAGAAGTTTGATTTTTGTGGTCTGTTCTATTTCTAATAAACTGTCGCTAAATTATCCTGTCCATTCCATAATGATTTTTAAAGATTTATTCTGGAGCTCATATTAAGTGCATCAGTGCACTGACACATTTCATCACCTGCATTTTCTCTCTCCAGCTGGTCAATCCTGGACTTGCTGAGGAGAAGTTCACTCTCACTGCTGCTCAGTCTGGTCTGTAAGTCTGGAGTTAATGCAGTGACAGTGAATTACAGAGCAGAGCAGACTGTTAACATGCACAGTCTGTTAAACTAATACTCAAACAACTACTGTAAATATCCATGACAAAATCACACATCAAACTCTTCAAGGACAACATTATTAACAATCAACAGGAAATGTGCCCAGTCTTTACCAGAGTTCTCTCTCTGCAGCATCTGCACGAACACCTTGAGCTCCACCACCATGTCTCTCAGTGCCCTCACCTCCGCCCAGATGTCAGGGGTGGTTTGCTCTGTGGTTGACTCAGCTGATTCCTCAGCTGCATCTCTTGGAGCTGTCTCCAATTGGCCGATCTCACCCACCTGTCTGAGGCCTCCACCCTTCCCCTGAGCCCCTGACCCACACAGAGCCAGCAGCAACAACAGCAAACCAACAACAACCCTCATTGTCCACTTACACATCTTCACAAAGGTACAGTGGTAGAGTCGGCCTGTCTTATGTAGTCTCCAAACTTCAGCTGGCTGAACCAATGGGAAAAACAACAAGTGTCTGTGTTTGACAGTTTGAGTCAAGGCCTCAGATGATTCAATGTGATCTCTGTGCTGCTGAGAAAATACAAGCTGCTACAGGCTGCTGCAACACTTTGACTATGATCCCCTCTCATGCAGTCACAGCTGTGCATACACCCTGTTTATGAATACACATACGGACAAACAGTCACAGAAACACACTTATCCTAATGCTGAGGCCTTTTAGTGTGACTGAGGGTTATCTGATTCAATTCAGAGAAGGCTCTGTCTCACTACTCATCTCATTCTCTCTGATATATTATAAACTGATATAAAAACTGTCCTCTGTCAGAATATTGAGATGATAGTCTTTTACATCTTACATTATGATGTTTATATTTTCTAAATTATTTGTGAAATCACTGAGGACCAGAGAAAGTTAATATCTGCTCTCTGAAGCCCTCTGGTGCTAACAAAAATACTTCAACCCAGTTTTGACAATACAGATTGCTGAACTGTGGTCAGGGGTCAAAGATCAGGCGGTCAGATAAACATACATATGCTCACACTGAGTACGAGGAAGAAACCCTCCTGTAACATTTGATTAGTAACATTGTGAAGATTTTGTTTAGATTGATGATTATAAAGTATTTCATATTATTTTAGATGTTTTTGTTTAATCTAGATTCATTTTTCTAGATTTGACTTCACTATGACATCAAATTATTTTCTGGTTATTAAAAACATTAAGTATTAAAACATAAAAAAGTTATTTCCATGGGATCATTTTTTAACAGATCAACACTGGAAATTCTTTGGCTGTGCTATATTCAGCATACACTCCCATAAGTGTTTATCACAACATAATTATCTTCCGCTACATCTACTTTGATGCAGATCGAAATGCTGGTTAAATAAAAAAAAAGAGGATTCTATTGCCTTGTCTGAGATGTAGCTCTCATGTTGCTTTTTGAGTGTTTTATTTCACTAAATTAAGTATTTTCACTATTTGTGTTCATGTAAATAGACAGTATTTTAAATTCAATTTGAAAACTGGATGTCTAGTCTTGACTCAAAATGAGAAATACATATTTTTTCAAACACATATCCTCTTACTGAAATACTCTAAGGTCTGTGCAAAGAATTTGGTGCAGAGTGAGCTATTCATCTGCTGTATTATATGCATGAGCTGCAGTGAATAATACAAACTGCAGTCACTTTATGTTGTGTTATGGGGGAAATGAATAATTGGGTCATTTTTAGTTTACATAAAGCCAAATACATTAATATATGAAAACTTGCGGTCAAGTTGTCATGGTAACAAGTTCAGAGGATATTTTGTTTTTGTTTTGTTTTCCACATTTTGTTTTATACATGCAAGACCGTAAAACTGTTGTAAAGTATGTTTTTTTAATCCCATGAGTGAGTGATTATATTATCTCTGTACTCATAACAACAGATACCAACACATATGATTGACTGATGATTAACATGATTTTTCATTTATATTTAATTATTCTTATTTACAATATAATGATGTTACCTGACCTGCATGTGTTTGGAGTATGAGAGGAAACCAGGGCACCCAGAGTAAACCTACGCAGACATGTAGAGAACATGCATAATGCACACAGAGAGAGGAAAACTGCAGTTGGAAATCAGCAGCTTGTTTCTGTGAGGCTGCAGTCTTTCCATGTCACTACTTATTTTAGTTAGTTTACAAACAAAACATATGGGTTAAGGTCTTTAAAAAATGATTCATAGAGTTAGTGAATAATGCTTAAAATAAAGAAGTTTTTAGCATAAAAATTATCTTTGTTACATTCAAGTATTTTAGTCAGTTGATATTAAAAAAGTTGGTCAACATCAAAAACATTTTTGAGTAGCACTGACTTAAAATAATAGAATAACTTTTTTAAAAAAAATAGTTAGACCACTAAATATCACCACAACTTTTGGATAAATATTTAGCTGGTTCAACTAAATTAAGCTTTTTGAGTTCAAAGCAAATCATGTTGGTTGCACTAGACTAATTGAGTTTGTCAGATTAAAAAAGCCTCATCAGACTGACTCATTAGTGCCAGAGTTGGAGCCACTTAAAAAGATGCATGCAAACTGTTAACTTCAATTTTTTAAGTTTAAGTTGGATTTTTTTTTTTTTTTTTTTTTTTTTAGTGTGTGTCCACAAAATTAGTCTCCCATTCATTGTCTAGACTTGACATCACAGGTTTGAGACTTACTTCTCTGGTTTCTGGCTTTGAGAGAGAGAGCTCCTGTTCACAAACACTGATGCCTTCAAAGTGTTACATGTGTACAATGACATAACTTACATCCAGGTGCCAGTGATTTTACTGGACAGCAGTATCAGCTCTGAGCCTGCTTCCTCTTATGTCAGGATTACAGCCAAAAACAATACAGTAACAAACAGCATAAGAATTACTGTACTACAGTTAAATCAATATTAAACACACATAACATTTACAGCCTACACACTCACAAACTCTTTATTTTTAGTTGTGTGCATACACTTGTATGCAACAAAACTGCCCATAGTAGCTGCTTATATCTGCTGCTTCATGTTTACAAATCTCTGAACGTGATATTTATTCACACAATAAACAATACAAGTACAAGATAAGACCACTAGTATTACTTTCCGACGCAATTAACTAGTGTTTACGCTCAGCCGACGGCTATGGCGGGCACGACATGCCTGTGTTAGCAGCTGAGGCTAGCAACCGTTAGCTGCCTTATTTACGGACATTAAGCACACTGTAAACATAGGCTAAAGATATGGCACCACAACTTAAGGACAAACTTAACATAAATTTGTAAGGCGCTTTGCTCACCTGCCAATAGAACAGGAAAACAGTCTTGGATGAGTGTGGGCTCTCTGTGCTGCTGTCTCGACTGTCTAATGTTTAACCACTGAACTTGCTTACTGCTACGTCAGGGTTACAGCGCCACTCAGTCACATTACACAGCCAATCTGTGGCGAAAACAGGTGTCGCCCTACAATTACTTCAGGTGAAGTAAGTGTGTTTTTGATAGTGACACGCAGTGTTTTAAACTATTAATAAGAAAAATCATGGTGGAGGGGGGCAAGTTACTTACAATAACTAACAAAGAAATAAATCAGGACATAATCTGAAACTGAACTAACAGAGTGTCCAGGGTGCAACAAAAATGACATTTGAATTTATAATTTAGGTGCTGCTCCCCTTTAATGTATCAGCACGACAATCCAATCATATATTACTGCAACACTCCCAGGGACTATTTTCCTGTTGAATGAGTACTTTTAAAATTTTGAGTACATTTAGCTGGTAGTGATTCTGTCCTTTTCCTTGTCCTTTTTTAATGTTGTTGTAATGATAATAATAATAATAATGATAATACATTTTATTTATCAGCGCCTTTCAAGACACTCAAGGTCACTGTACATAGAGCATAAAAAATAAAAAATCACAGCAGCAATTATAAAACATTTAAAAAAGTTAGCAGCAGGCAATGACATTTAGCAGTGATGGGCTTGTTTAAACAGATTTTGATGTTGGATTTGAAAGTGTCCAGGGACTGAATATATTTAGGGGCTGAAGGCTCTGGACCCCATGGTGGTCAGGCGTGCTGGAGGGACAGTGAGGCTGATTGAGGAGGAGGATCTGAGAGACCTGCTGGGTTGTAAGCTATTATCATTACTGTCTGCCCTGCATCTCTCTCTGTCTCTGTCTCTCTTTATGTATCATTTTGTCATATGGATTACTGCAAATTTGTAATTTGATCTGTTCTGTACGACATCCATTGCACGTCTGTTCGTCCTGGAAGAGGGATCCCTCCTCAGTTGCTCTTCCTGAGGTTTCTACCTTTTTTTTTTTTCCCCCTGTTAAAGGGTTTTATGGGGGGAGTTTTTCCTTATCTGCTGTGAGGGTCCAAAGGACAGAGGGATGTCGTATAAAGCCCTCTGAGGCAAATTGTGATTTGTGATATTGGGTTTTATGAATAAAATTTATTGATTGATTGATCCTATCCCTTGAGTAAGATCTTCAGGGCTGTTACTTATAATTCATTAATTTTCTGTAACAGCTTATCCTGTTGGGGCTCGCGGGAGGGCTGTGGCCCATCCCAGCTGACATTAGGCAAGAGGTGGGTACACCCTGGACAGGACTATCACAGGGTTGACATACAGACAAACAACCAGTCTCCCCCAACACACACCTACAGCCAATTAAGAGTCACCAGTTAACCTAATGTGCATGTCTTTGGACAATGCAAGTTCCTCACAGGGGGCTCCCCCACCCTGGGTTCAAGCCTCCCATCCTGGGTTCTAATGGTTCCTGTTGTGAGGCGACAATGCTAACCACCAGGTTACTTTACTACCAATGGTGCTGACATTTGTTATCAACAATGGCATTCTTATCACTTTGAAAATAGGAAAATTAATACCAGAACTTAACATTTTGTTGTTAGAAACAGAGCATATAGGCAGATTTTTTATCCCTGAATGCAGAATGGGCTTTAATGAGAGGCCTCGAGAGGACACAGACAGATATTTTAGGTCGTTTTTTTTAAAAAGAAAACAGCATTCCAAAACCTGTAGAATGTACAGAAAAATATCGGATATAAATCAGTGAACAACAACTTAAAGTACAAAGTAAGTGTTGTTTGAAATACCCTGTTTTCTTCTGTCTACACTGCACAGATGGTGACATTTCATTTACCGACATAGATTCTGTTTTTCATTTACCAGCTTGCATCCTAGCTTGTGTTAATATGGCTCATGGAGTGTATAAATGAAACCTCACTCAAGCTTTATAGTGTAGTTTGAGCCACATTCAAATCAAAAAGTTCATGGAATTGTCTCATGTAAAGTTTCTATATGAAGACCTAAACTCAATGAACAAAACTGCAAAGAGTCTTTGATTTATCTGAATGTTGTTTTCATGTGATGACACAAGAGGGAAGTCAGATTCAGAATCACAATATTTGATACATGCAGTAAATGTACAGATGTTTGTCTTGGAGGCAGCAGTTTCTGATGAACAACAGACTCTGTGATAAATCAATCACACATCAGCCTGAACAACATCCTTACAGTGTGAAGAGAAGAGAGCCACTGAAGGTGCTGTGGTTATCTACATCATCATAGATAACAAAGGTTGATGGGAGAACCAGGCGAATATTATCTCCTGGCATCAGCTCCAAAACAGCAGAGTTAGTGAAGTACTTATAATGTGCATCTTCCTTCCACTCGACATTAAACATGATCCGCTGGTTGTTCTTGTACACATACACACCCATGAGACCTGTGTGGTTACCACACACAGTGAACTGGAGATAGTAGACCCCTTTGACTGGTGCTGTGAAGAAACCTGCAGAGTAAGAGTAGAACATGAAATACAGTAACAATTACTTTATGTATTGTAAATTAACATAAGCACACATGATCATGTGACCTGCAGTATATTACCTGTCGCTGGATTGTAAGCATTGCCAATGTTGGTGAAGACTTTACTGTATTTCAGTGTGATGTCTGTGTTTTGTGGTCCAATATATCCTGCATCAGTCAGAGCTGTGTAAAAGGCCACCTTTGGTCTCTCTGTTAACACAAAAAAGTAAATGATGTAATCAAAATTGTGTCTTTGTGTGTGTGTGTGTGTGTGTGTGTGTGTGTGTGTGTGTGTGCAGTGAATAAAATGTTACAATCATCACCTGTATTTTCTCTCTCCAGCTGGTCAATCCTGGACTTGCTGAGGAGAAGTTCACTCTCACTGCTGCTCAGTCTGGTCTGTAAGTCTGGAGTTAATGCAGTCACAGTGAATTACAGAGCAGAGCAGACTGTTAACATGCACAACAATGTATATACAGCATTTTGACCCTCATGTCATCTTTTGACCCAATTCTCAAAAATGAACTATACTGAAAATGTTCATGACAAAATTAAACCATCCGTGCCGCCCAAAACAACTGATGAGACTATTAAAAAGAAAAGGACACACACAATTCAGTTCTCATCTGACACATAATAGGTTTGGTTCAGTTTTGTCAGCAACCTAGAAAGGTGGGTTTTTTTTTGACCATGTAAGATGGCTGTCATCTATGTTAAAATATTAAATGCGATGCCAGTAACTTTAGTACAAACATTCGTGGTCTTTTTCTTCTAGCACCTCAGGATGAACTGGATTCACTTTAGTGATCTCTTAACCTTTTAATCTTGTGCTGTCATTAGTCAAAATTTTGGTTTTTGACCAAATCTAATATCATTCTCATCAGCCTAAACTATACTTTGTGTTTGATGGTAATCAGTAAATGTTAGTATGCTAACACAATGTTAGCTGATGATAGCATTTAAGAGGTCCATTGTGTTTTACCCTGCATTCATTTGGCGTTGTAATAATCAGAAAAATGAGCTCCCAACTGGGAAAATGCACGTGAACACAAAGTTGGAACATCAGCTTAAAGAAAATGTTGGTGTATGAGTTGAAGAGTTGGCGTCATATTACACAGAAATCTGACAGACCAAAGTAAATGATTGGTTGATGGTAAGAAAGTTTTTATTAATTCACATATTGCCTATGATTTTTTTACTCTCACATTATTTGTAATATGGTATTAGCTTGTAGCCCTTTGCTGCTGTCCACATAAAGTGAGCTTAATCAGTAATAAAAGTTATTTATTAGCATTAACCCTGATAACAAGTCACATGAAGCAATATATCAGTAGGGATTGTGCTGGTGCAGGAACACGCCTCGGATAAAATCAATAATATAAGTTTCCATCTGTTATAAACATGCTGTTTAAATGCTCTGAGCAATAAAGAACAACACATCATCTTTCTAACCTTTTGTTTCCACATTATAACTTAAGTTCATGAACACACCAAAGTCAGAAGAATTACTTCAAGTACAGCCTACAGAGCTGCTGACGTCACCCTGGACTCTGAGTCACTTATATAATATATATTTTTTAAGAATTTACCAACACTACAACACATTGTTAAATGACCATGTTCTGTAGAGGGTTGCTGCATAATTATTTTACTCATTAAGATAGCCAAACTAATTTTTTGCCCCCACTAACAGCTTAGTCCAGCCATGACTCACAGTTCCTTCACTGGATCCTTCATTTTAATCCATTATTATCACTGGCTGATGCCCTTACCCTAACCACTGGTAGTAGTAGAAAATAACAAGCCATGAAACTTAATAAACTATGATATTTGTCAGTGAAATACCTGCATTCTCTTTTTCTAGGTCAGTTGTTTTGCTCTCAGTGGCAGTCAGTCTCATCTCTTGGTCTGAAAAACAGAGGAATCAGAGTTTTGTTTGTGACAGTTTAAAAATACCACAATGAGCTCTCTGTTGTGTTTTTCATTAAATGTTAATAAATTATCCTATCCATAACATATACTGTAGATTTTTAAGGATTTTTTCTTGAGCTCACACAATCATCATCAAGTTCACTCTCACTGCTGCTCAGTCTGGTCTGTAAGTCTGGAGTTAATGCAGTGACAGTGAATTACAGAGCAGAGCAGACTGTTAACATGCACAATCTGCTGAACTAGTACTCAAACTACTTTAAATATCCATGACAAGATTACACATCAAACTCTTCAAGGACATTATCAACACTCAACAGGAAAAGTGCCCAGTCTTTACCAGAGTTCTCTCTCTGCAGCAGCTGCACGAACACCTTGAGCTCCACCACCATGTCTCTCAGTGCCCTCACCTCTGCCCAGATGTGGGTGGTTTGCTTTGTGGTTGACTCAGCGGATTCCTCAGCTGCATCTCTTGGAGCTGTCTCCTGAAACTCACTGATCTCACCCACCTGTCCGAGGCCTCCACCCTCCCCCTGAGCCCCTGACCCACACAGAGCCAGCAGCAACAACAGCAAACCAACAACAACCCTCATTGTCCACTTACACGTCTTCACAAAGGTACAGTGGTAGAGTTGGCCTGTCTTATGTAGTCTCCAAACTTCAGCTGGCTGAACCAATGGGAAAAACAACAAGTGTTTTTGTTTGATAGTTTGAGTCAAGGCCTCAGATGATTCAATATGATCTCTGTGCTGCTGAGAAAATACAAGCTGCTACAGGCTGCTGCAACACTTTGACTATAATCCCCTCTCATGCAGTCACAGCTGTGCATACACCTTGTTTATTAATACACACACAGACAAACAGTCACAGAAACACACTTATCCTAATGTTGAGGCCTTTTAGTGTGTAAAAATTGTAAAGTGAGCAAAGTATAATCTTAACTCAAGACTAACATTAAGACATGTCTAATGTGCAAATACATGTTCAATTCTTCAAAAATTAAATGAAATTATCAGTCCTGACTCCAAATGAGAAATGCATATTCTTCTCAAGCCCATACTTTCTCACTCAAGTCCTCAAGATGTTTGTTTTGCATTTCAATTTCCTTTGAGCCGTGCAAACTGTACAGGCTCTAAAATTACTTCAAATTGTATTCAGGTGAAATGAAGGGTCATTTTTAAATTTGTTCAGAGTCGGAAGAGAGTAGATAGGTGGTAACGGGGTAAAGGAGTTGGGGTAGTAGAGGTGTTAGGAGGGTTTAGGGGGATTAAGAGGGAAGAAGGAGTGTTATTCCTTTCTCCTGTTTCCCCTTTTCTTTCATTCAGTGTTGTTTTTTTAGTAAGTCATTCAAATCCTTTTTCAGTTATAAAGTCTCGCTGCTTTATTGGCCTTAAATTGAAAATGAGTGGCCTAGGATTTATGTGACCAGATCTCCCTGCTGAGTTACAAGGCGCATGACTCTAAATTATTCTCATCTAACTTGCCTGTTTGTTTGATTAAAGATTAAACCGACAGAAATGGAATATATTATTCACTACAGTGTTTCCATTAGTTTATAATTACCTGAAACTAAGAATTGTTGTGTTTTTGTTACCTTAAATGAGCTGTTTACACCTGCACACAGGGCTGGCACTCTTCCACAGAGTCCGCCATTTTGTCTCTACAGTAGCCCAGAGCTGAAAAACTAAACACTGGCCTTTAGACAGAGTCATTTGTTTTCGGGAGAAGTTTCAGTAACTGCAATTGCAATCTGCAACCTCGCCACTAGATGCCACTAAATCCTACACACTGGTCCTTTAATGTGCGGTGAAAACTGATGCATTACGGACACATACGTAAGTTACACCTTCACATATCACACTGTTATCATGTTCATCATATCATTTTTTACTAGGAAGACTTTACTGCATATCCACAAGATAATGTACATCTTTAGTAATCTGAAGTGTTTTTTCAGATACCAATTTTACTGCAGCATGAATATTGTTAAACATGAAAATGAAACATTTATTCATCAACATTTGGAGTCTTATATTTACATTGGCGACTGGAGCTCCATATCTTTATTTTGTATCTTCTTCAGTTGTTGTGTACCTTTGCTGATAAGATGTCCCATCATCATTGTCCTGCAATGTACTATAGTTGTAGTCTCTTATAAAGGTACACAGCACCAGATATATAGCCGTCCTCCTGCTCCGACACCGCTCTCTCCCAGTCTTCCACCTCAGTGACCTCTACACAAGTCCAGAGCCCTGCATCCTCCATCAGCTTCAGCTCATACTCCAGGGCGGCTTTGTACTCCACATTGTCTTGGTTACTTCTAGTTGTCATGCAAATATAGCCACCTAGTGGAAAAGGGTGAGAATGCAGGGGTGTTTTTAACAGAGTTCAGTTTTTCACAATTGCTAAGACATGCTTAATGGAACTGGGATCCACTTGATCTTCATCATCATCATCATCATCATCATCCTCTTAGCAAAGCAGAAGTTCTCTCTTAAAATGTACTGACACTTTTCCATTGGTTTCACACATTCTTCACACCCTTTTTCAAAACCGTTAACACAGATCTCGTAAAAAGACCCAAAACTCTTTTCGACAAACATGTATTTACAGCTGATAGAACTTACTTACATAATTATAAATCTCTAACACACCTGTGTGAAACGCCTGTGCTCAACTCTTCAATCAACAATCAGTCCTTATCCATTTGTAAAAGGTACCACCTCAGTGTTGCTATTTGTAAGCAAGGATCAGAGAGGCCAAAGGCATGTAAAAATGAACACTGAATGTAATACTGTAAAATGAATGAAGGAAACTCTACTAAAATCATCTTTGGAGAGAAGCACTGATTTAATATCATGCTGTTTTGGCACGTACTACAACTATGTAAAGTATCAACGAATGGCACAGGCACAAATAAAGGTTGAACCGCCTCATATTGGCAGCTGCATTTTGTTGTCCACTGTGTAATGATTAATTGAAAGAATGCATTGATTTGAGCACATGTTGTGTTGACTGATGGAAATATTTGCTTTTTTTAAGATTACTTTTTGGGCTTTTTGCCTTTAATGACAGGATAGTTTGCAGCGTGAAAGGGGGAGAGAGTAAGAGAGCATGATGGGGTGCCCGCTCCACCCACTGAGCAACTGGGTGCCCCCAAAGATTTGCTTTTGTTGCACATTTTTAATGTTTGTTTTAGTGTTGGAGCATTTTGCGAACAAAAACATGTGTAATTTTGGCCAGAAACTTTCAGTTTAGGCTTGTGTGTGAACTGCTCTGAATTCTGAATGGACGAACATGTTCAAGCAAATGAAAAAAACTGTAAAGCTCACTTTCAGTGAGGAGATGCTCATTTACAACCATGGATCGGAATTACGGTTAAGACATCATCAGACCTAAAAAATATGCTCTCACCTGGTTTGGTGGACTTGCACATCTCTCTGACGACACTAACCGGGACCTGACCAACACTCAGTGCTCCAATGATCACGACCACATCAAACAAACCTGCAGGGAAGAGGAGAGAGGTGAAGGAGTAAAGATACAAGAGAGTTTACATCACTACTGATAATGACAATAAAGATTTATAATATTCAATAGTTGTAATATCATGTAAGACAAGAGTTTTGATTTGTGTTTTTCAAAATAAGTTTATAAAGTCTAACCTGCCCCCTTGATGATCACCTATTGAATCACAGTAATAAATGACCCATTAGAAATAATTCAAATCATTATATTACCCCACTGGACAGGTAGCGGCCCCTCTCCTAGCATGGACTGCTTCAGGTCCTGGTACAACCCGCTCTTTCTGGCCATCTCCAACATAGCTTTACTTCCATCAATACCCACAAAATGTCCAAATCCATGTCTCTTCATCTGTAAAACAGAGACACATTGGCTGTTTATCAGTCCTACTGGTTAAATCAACTTAATGTAGAAGCTAAAAACTCATAGTGATGAGGTCTCACGAGACCAAGAAGGGAAAGGTTTTGAAGTTTTGATCCAAACAATAAATTAGTATATGTAAGGAGAGAGGGGAAAAGAAGAGGAAGAAAGTCTTTAAAGCCACTCCTTGTTGTCTGTGCATACGAGTTAAAAAAAAAAGATACACTGCATACAATATTAAAAAGCATACTACAAAAACCACAATTCACATAATGTAAATGAGGTAACAATAAAAGTACCAGAGTCAATAAATGCCACATATTTGACTGGATATACTTTATCTTCTAAACTGAAACATACCAGGCATCAATACAGATGTCATAGTTTAAAGAAATGATTATTTTATTTTTAGTGTTTTCAGAAGCACAGAAAAAAGGCCTTTGTCAAATATTAAATTACATACAAGCTGTGAATATGCAGTTACTCCTCTAGATTCAGTTTTCCTTTGACTATAATCTCATAAACCAGGATCTTGTGAGTGTACCTGTTTGGCCATCAGTCCTGTGCCACAGGCCAAATCCAACACTACAGCTGCTTCACGGTCACCGCTGAAATGAGAGGAGATGCTGTCTGCTGCCAGACTTGGTGCACGGTACTCCAGAACTTCCAGATCCTACTCAAACCATTTTTAAGAAAGAACAATGATTTTTAAAACAAAGAAACAAGATAAACATGGCACTGCAAGACTACATTTGGCTACATACAAAGGAAATAGAGGCCAGTTTTTAAAACATTTTATAAGATACACAGGGAGCCACATAATGATATGTATTTTGGGACTTCATTGACTCAGTGTTGTTTTCAGTCGGACATGTTTCACTTCATCAGTTAAACCTTTCCCATTATTTAACTTGACATAAGAAATACAGCCAATATTTACTGATATGTTACTTTACTTCAGTCATCTCACCTGTTCATAGTTCTCTGCCCAGGAGTTGTAAAAGTCGACCTTTTCTGCTGATGTGGTGGACTTATGAGCTGATAAGACGGCCGCTTTCACATTTTCAAATGTGTTAGTGGCAGCTGCCATTGTATAAAAACCTGTTCAGAGAAAGAACGAACCAGGGACAATATAGTCAAGTGTTAACAATAATAACAACAGATATCAGAATATGTATCATAGATTGGAAGTTTAACGTGTGAGTTAGTATACCATACTTGGTTTTGATTTGGCTTTTCAGTGACTCCTTTTGTGATTTCATGTGCAGACAAACAAATCTGAAAATATCTCCAAATCAATTCTGGGAAATCAATTGGTAATTGTGTTACGCGTTATATTAATATGGAATATGTGGGGGCGATTTAAAACACTGTGCAACTGCTACACTGAAAACCACTTCCTTGCTTCATGTTTCTATTAGCAAAAAATAGAAAATTATTTTAAACCCTGAATTGCACTGTGTAGGAGCCTGGACTTTGGCCGACCTCAGCCTGCTGCTACAACTATTAACAGTACATAAGAGATGAGCATGCATGGTAGTGACAGAGTTACCTGCATTAGCCTTTTGTTGTTGTTGTTTTGTGCAGTTTCCTCTTCGGTCAGGTTTCAAGTTGCTTCCCCCAGCCGTTGCCAAATGTAGGCTACTGTAACGACATAAAACTCTGTGTTTTTCATTCACAGCTCGGTGTACCAGGAAGCAACACCACTAGCCTACGTGTTTGCCCTCCTGCTGCTGCATTCACGGCCACCATACTATTTAACCTAAGCCGCACAGATCTTAACAACAACAATAATAATAATAATAATAATAATAATAACAATAACAATAATAACAACAACAACAACAACAACAACAACAAACGTTGTTCGTGTAGCAGTTCAAAGGTGATTTACAGCTAATAAAAGTGTATAGTGGTGCACGACATAAAAATACAGTTTCAAAAACAGAAACAGATAATCAACAATAAAAGCAATATAAAGAAACACAATAAAAGGCAAATAAAACCAAAAAGAAACAACAAACATATAAAAACAGCTCATACACGTGTTTTTTCTAAGGGTTTTTTTTTATGTGGCACAGACTCACTGACCTGACAGTGAGAGGGAGGCATTTCCAAAATGTTGGAGCTAAAACAGTAAGCACGATGCCCCTTTATTTTGAGACTGTAAGAGTAAGTGTTTAGAAGATAAGAGTTAGATGTATAATTTCTATTAGACCATTAAACGCATGCAAAACCTATATTTCCGACAATTCCTGAAGGCACCATTCATTCTTCCAGATTCCTGCACATGCGCAGTGGCGTTATCCCAGGCTGCTATTCGTGTTCCCACCTGTAGAGTGACCAGGAGTCAAAACAAAAATCTTCTGGAAAGTCCTCTTGATTTTTTAAAGCAAGCTAACCAGCTAAAGCACGTAGCCCCCGACAACGTGAGCAAAGGTGGTTCCAAGTGATATCCATGACAGTTTAAATAGCTTCAAAGTAAATCCGTGCGATTCATTTCATTATGGAGTTCTCTCAAAAGTTCCACTCTTTCTACAACTTGTTTTGGTCCGTTTTCGTGGCATAGCTGGGAAGCTAACGCTGTCTAGTAATATCTAGCTAGCTAGCTTAGCTTAGCACTCCCCAACAAAACAGCCCAGCCTCCACTGAGTCTCGTCGGACGGCAGAAGTCTAACTTTACTCGCAGGTAACGGGCCTTTACTGTATTTCAGCTGCCTGTTTTGTTTTCTACCAAGAAGTAATTTTTGTTTTTCTGTAAAACTACTTAAAACATTAAAATCTTGCTGTCTGGTGGCTAATTAGCAGTAACAGTTGAGGTCAGCTACCTTGAATCTGTCATGTATCTTGCACTTAAACGTTCAGTTATCTGTCTTATCGCTTGTAAAATTTCATGTTATGTCGTGAAATCAGGTTTACGCTTATAATTCTTCAGCTGTGTCCTTTTCCTCAGATTTCTTTGGCAGCAACACCTCCAACATGTCTATCCTAGGGTTAAAGAAGAAACAGCCAAAGACTTTTAAAGTCAAAGTCATCACCATGGATGCTGAAATGGAGTTCAGCTGTGAGGTACGGATTTATTTAGGCAATGGGGCTGAAAGGATGCCGTATCCATTGATGGATGGATGGATGTGTGTGTTATTTCAGTGTCTAGGTCAGTGTGTAAGCATGTATTGTATGTTTAAGTCTTTTTGTTGCACATACAGTTAGCCCTCTCAGATTCAGGGACAAGCTCACTTAGGAATAGCGTTAAACATCCTTGCATTTTAAATATTTGTTTTGCATAAGTGATGATGTGCAGACTTTTCAGATGCCTCATGTCTCAGGTGTTACAGCCTCCATACAAACAGTAACAAAACCCAGCTCAATAGGGGCAGGAGGCTGCAACATATAAAAGAGGACGCCACACCAAAGGTAACAGTTTACCCACCAGCTTTATTGTATACCCCAAAACATTAAACAAAGACACAAACAAACTAAAAGGAAAACATAAGGGACTGGAGACCCCGGCCAAAAGGAACAAAAGGAGGGAAGACGCTGGGCCAACCACACAGTGGGCCGTCGTTCCCAGCGTCTCCCCCTAAACTACCTAAAACATGAATTACACCTAAAGAAAACAAAAGAGACGAATAACGTGACTACTGGCAAACTCCAGCCCAAACTAACACAACAAACTAAAAGAGCATGGGGGGAAAAAGATTCCTCCCTACCTGATCTGCTGTTTGTGAGCCATGTGCTGTGCCACGCCTCTCTTGTCTCTACACTCCCTGTCCCTCTTATGCCCTCCTCCTCTCTCTACCTGAGTGCTAATTGCACTCAGGTGCGAGGCAGGCAGAGGGAGGAGGGAGACCAGGCTGGCAGAGAGAGAGAGAGAGAGAGAGAGCTAGAGAGAACAGGCTGCTGCACATAACAAAAGGTTCTAGCTCCTGAGAGCTGAGCGCGCGCACACACGCACACACACATATACATGTATGTATATGCTGATCAGCCAAAACATTAAAACCACTGACAGGTGAAGTGAATAACTTTGATTATTTTGTTCCAGTGCATTGTTCTGCTGGGAAACCTTTGGTTCTGGCAGTCATCAACCTGACATGTTCCACCAACTCAAACACCGTTGCAGACCAAGTACACCCCCTCATGGCAACAGTACTCCCCACTGGATAATGCACCCTGCCACACTGCAAACATCTCGCAGGAACGGCCCAAGGAATGTGACAAAGACCAGTGTCAACCTGGCCTCCACATTCCCCAGATCCCAATCTGAATGAGCATCTGTGGCACGCGCTATTAACCCACCTCACAACCCACTGGACTAAATGGATCTGCCACCAACGCACTGGTGCCAGACACCACAGGACACTCCCAGAGACTCCTGTTCAGAGCCAAGTCTGATCCAAGGAGGCCCCACCTTGGATTAGGGGTACTTCTGTTGTACCGCCACATAACAAGAATCCTTGAGCAGATTGGGACCTGGGAAATTTAGAAGCCAGGTTGACACCTTGAGCTTTTTGTCATGCTCCACAGGCCATTTCTGAACAGCTTTTTATAGTGTGGCATGCTGTGGGACTTCCAGAACCAGAATGATACCAGACTGGTTTTAACATATGATCCATTTATTGTTGCAGTCTGCAGTCTGCATCCTGGTGCATCTCAGTTTAGCTAGATAGACCGGGCCCAGATTTCTCCATAGTCATTAGTTCAAGGTCCGCATAGTTTAAGGGTGTTTTCACATATAGTCCTTTTCAAATAAACCAAAGTGGACCAACAGAAAAGGGACTCAGTTCTTTTTGTATTCACACTGTCAGGACTCAGTTCTCTTTTTCTCAGCCATGTTGAGTTTGCTGTCTCTAGTGAGTAGCTGTCTGTCATTCACTCGTCTACAGCAGCATGTGGCATTTCAAAATGAAAGCTCTGTGTTGAAGATTCATTGTACTTTAAAATAAAGTGTCTTTTTTACAAATTTGACACATTTGTGAGTCACTTGCGGTCCATTCAGAATGGACTCATGACCCACCAGTTGCAAACCACTAGTCTAAATGATAGCCAGCCTCATTAAATATGTGGCATTTGTCGTGTGAAATAGTGCCTGTGCTTTTTTTTTTTCTCCTGGTAAAGTGTATTAATGTTTTATTACTAGTTTGTTAGTGAAGGTTATCGCCACCCTTGCTATTAAATACTGAAGAAATCTTCACAAAACCATCACATCAAGACTTTATCAGCAAGATTTCTATTCAAAAAGAGCGTGAGTTATTAGTTTATATTTGGGTTGATTCCAGCAGTCACTGAAATGGGTACAACACAACAACTTCAGAACAGCGCATTTGCTTACAGCATCTTAACTTACTGGTCTCTTTATCACTCACTTTTTATTTCAGGTGAAGTGGAAAGGTAAAGACCTGTTTGACCTGGTGTGTCGCACTGTTGGTTTGAGGGAGACTTGGTTTTTCGGACTCAGGTACACAGTAAAGGACACCTACGCCTGGCTGAAACCAGAGAAGCGGGTGAGTGAATTAGTGAACTTGTGAAGGTCAAACTGGCTAATGAGGATATAAAAACAACACAACTTGAACAATATTTCAGATGCTATGTGGTTAAAATGTTTTGCACAATGCAGCTGATTTGTATGAAGTGCCCAAAATTGAAAGATGAGGCTATTCTGGATCATAGGGCTGCAACTAATGATAATTTCCATTATGAGGCATTTTTTACCATCAAACAATTGATGTTCAGTCAGAATATAGCACAAAAAATACCCATCACAATTTTCCCAGAGTACAAGGTGACATCTTTGAATTGCTTGTGATCTGACAAACCAAAAAATGCCCATTCACAGTGATTTAAAACAGGAAATCATCACATCACTCAGCTTATTTAAATTGATGAGGAATTAAAAATCGACCAGTTAAGCAATTAACTGCTTAACTGTTTAGTGTGTTGCTAGTAATAATTACTCAGACACTGATCATGACATGATTTAGTGAGGGCCTGGTCTGATAAACATATTATTGTGCACTTTTCTTCCAAGGTCTTGGACCAAGAGGTTCCAAAGGACTCTCCCATAACATTTCATTTCCTGGCAAAATTCTTCCCAGAAAAAGTAGAAGAAGAGCTGGTTCAAGAGATAACTCAGCACCTCTTCTTCTTGCAGGTAATCTAACAGATAACCTTTCTCGTGAAATCACCTTTGGCTCGATTGTTTTTGTAAAAACATTTATAGTAAATTTCTGATCTCATGCTTTAGAAAACTAAATGAAAAATGTTCACTTGGTTAAATACATGTTCTTACGTGTCCTCAAATTCTTGTACAGGTGAAAAAACAGATATTAGATGAAGAGATATTCTGTTCCCCTGAAGCATCTGTCCTGTTGGCATCGTACGCTGTCCAGGCCAAGGTGAGAAAGCCAAAATGTTTTGATCAGCTTTATGCAAAGATGCTCTCTGTGTATGGACACAACAGCACAGATGGTATAAAGCATGAAAAAACATTTCTTCCTCTTGGGTACTGATGTTTTTCCTCACAAGAAGATGCAGGGCAACTTATTGACAGAGGAGATCTATGTGATGGTGCAAACAAATCTGTTTTATTTTCAGTTAGGCTCATACACAGTGTATGCTTCAGAGGACTAATGTGTAGGATTTAGTGGCATCTAGCAGTGAGGTTCCAGATTGCAACCAGCTGAAACGTCTCCTGTGCACCAAGCCTGTAGGAGAACTTTGGTGGCCGAGGTGAAAACGTGAATGGCCAGTGTGTGATTTGTTGGTTCTGGGTTACTGTAAAACAATATGAATGACTCCGTGAAGGAGGACACGCTCCGTATGTAGAAAGAAACAGCTCTTTCTAAGGTGATTGAAACAAACTGTTCTTATTTTCAGGTGATTTATAACTAATGAAAATGTAGTTATGAATATTATTTACCATTTTTGCCATTCTACACACCAGACCTTACGTTTCGATTTTGTGCAACAATAATGTCCACATATCTTTCTTTTGCTTTTCTTGTTTTCCACTGCCTCCCCCTCAATCTCAATCACAGTATGGGGACTATGACCCAAACTTTCACAAGCCAGGCTTCCTGGCACAAGACGAGCTTTTGCCAAAAAGAGTAAGTATACAGTACTATGTGTACATTTGTCTCTTTATTGTTACAGCAGTTAGCCAGTGTTTGTGTGCTTGTGTGTAGGCATACAGTATATAATGTCTTTCCTGTGATCCTGTATCGGTATTCCAGGTTTTGATGCAGTACCAAATGACAGCTGACATGTGGGAGGAGAAGATCACAGCTTGGTATGCAGAACACAGAGGCATCGCCAGGTAGGACCGACAAAGGAGTGCTCCTGGAATCCAGCATAAAAAGAGAAATGATCACTTTGCAGTAGGGGTGTCGTGATTCCAATGCTAAATTGAGAATTTGTCGGAATGAGCTTTCAATTTAGATTATTTATCCTCACCCTTATCCTCACCCCCACCTTTACCCTGCTTTTTTGCATGTGTCCAAAGAAGAAAAAAAAAACACTTACCTGTAGCCTGCAGCTGTACTTTTCTTTTTCTTTTCTTGAGTCAGAGATGATAGGGAAACTGGAAAGCCACAAAGCCTCCCAGAAGTCAGCAGTTTGGCAACGTTTTGCCGTCCCCTTAAGTTCTGTTAATTACAAATCTGTGGTTGAAAGGAAAACTACAATTTGTAGGCTGTGCTTGTGATGGAAAAGTAAAGCAAGGTGACTTTTTGGGGGTGAGGAACCTGAAGCTGTTTTTATAAAGAACCTTTCTGCCATCTAGTGGCTATACTTTTTGTTCCCTGGGGCAATAGGTTATTGTGATATTTTATTTAAATTTTACCATTTGGCCCTGGTGTTGTACATTTCAAAGAGATATGACAGTTAAATTACACTTGATACCATGTGGCCTAACTTTTTAAAGAAGAATTTGGAAATGTAAATGACAGTTGACGGGGCGTAAAACCAATGATTTGTTAATCTTTACGAATTAAGACTCAATAGTCAAATCAGTCAAGTCATAGAGTCAAATCAGATTGTGGATCTTAAAAATCATGACACACCTACTTTAAGGTGTAGTCTTAGATTTTGTAGATAAAGTGTGATAAACGTATATGCCTTCTCTTCCTTATTTTTACACCGTCCATACAGGGATGAGGCTGAGATGGAATACCTAAAAATCGCTCAGGACCTTGAGATGTACGGTGTCAGCTACTTTGCCATAACTGTGAGTGCAAATTACTGTGCCTTGTTAATGTATTTTAAAAACGCAACATTACTGTCATGCTGGTTTACATTTCTGTGTTACACATCTCATCGACAGCAAAATAAGAGGGACACAGACCTCTTACTGGGAGTGGATGCTCAGGGTCTTCACATCTACAGTCCTAACAGCAAACTCAACCCTAACAAATCCTTTCCTTGGAGTGGCATCCGCAACATCTCTTACAGCGAAAAGGAGGTAATGCAAGTAGTTTACTGTCTTTTCCGATCTTCCCTAGATCGAGACTTTGTGCTTTTTTTATGTCACATTCCTGTCACTTTGGAAGAATTGTAAAAGCAGGTGCCATATCTTGTTCTTTTGGTTGTTTAACTGGATGAAAATTCAACATCCATAATGATCACATGAGGGAAATAGGCTGAATCTTTCGTCGCTACAGATACACTGCCAAAGACAAAACAGCTGTCTATGCCTTAAGGCTGTTTAATTTTCCCAGAGCCTTCAAATAGTATCATCTATCCGAACAACAATCCACAAATCCAAATCTATTCAGTTTATTATCATGTATGACAAAGAAAAGCATCAAATTCCCACATTTATTAAGCATGAATCAAAAAAAGTTTTACTTATTTCCTTTTAAAAAAATGACTAAAATGATTATCCAATGAGCAGAATAGTTGACAATTGATTATTCATTGCAGTTCTACGATGCAGCTGCTCAGTAAACCTGCAACAATTCAGTATAGGATTTTCACTCTAACCAGTTAACTGTATTGGTGTAAAGGCATCAAAGCTGTGCTGTGTTTCGAGACAATGCTAAAAGAAAGTTGTCAGTTTTGTAGAAGAACTGATTTTAATAACTTCCTTATGTTGCAGTTCACAATCAAACCCCTGGATAAGAAGAAAGATGTTTTCAAGTTCTACTCGTCTCAGCTGCGTGTCAACAAACTGGTTGGTTTACCTCTTTAACTGTGTAAATGTTTAACTATTGAAAATTTAGATGAGAGTTATGTTAAGTAAGATGGTGCTGGTTTGTATCGGCTTTGTCTTTAGATCCTGCAGTTGTGCATCGGTAACCATGATCTATTCATGAGGCGGAGGAAGGTGGACTCCATTGAAGTGCAACAGATGAAGGCTCAAGCAAAAGAGGAGAAGGCCCGCAAGAAGGTCAGCGCCCTCTTAGCTCCATCGTAGCAATTAGAATAACAGATTAAGCGTGATGTACACCATGCGTACATCATCATGGTTTATTGTCTTATATTTAATCTGATTTCTCGGCCTTGATCTAGATGGAGCGTCAAATCCTGGCACGGGAAAAACAGATGAGAGAGGAAGCAGAACGGGCAAAAGAGGAGATGGAACGTAGACTTTTCCAGCTGCAGGATGAGGCACGACTGGCCAACGAGGCTCTGGTAAAAGCTTTATGTACATGAGATAATTGACCTTTCGTTTATACCTGCCCCTTTGTGATGATTGCATTAGAGTCAATGGAGCACAGCTGTGTTGTTGTGGGACCCTGGTCTGAGCCTGCCCGATGCTACATAATGATCGTCCAGTCTGCATCCAGGGGCAGGACTTAGCTACGGGTTAATTGTTGAATCTCCCAGACAATTGAGTGAGCTCCTGTTTGGGCAACAAGCTTTACACCCCTGTTGTTAATATATGTTATACAGACAGATTCCTCTGTCATGCTAAGCCCTAAACTCTTGCATGATTTATCTTAAATTTTCTTCATGAAAATTCTTTTGAAATATTTCTCCAGCTGCGATCTGAGGAGACAGCGGACCTGCTGGCAGAGAAGGCCCAAATTGCTGAGGAGGAGGCCAAGCTGTTGGCCCACAAGGCTGCAGAAGCGGAGCAGGACAGGCAGAGGTTAGAGGTCACCGCCATGAAGACCAAGGAGGAGAAAAGACTGATGGAGCAGAAGATGAGGGAGGCAGAGCAGCTGGCTGTCAAACTGGTGGAGCAGTCAGAAAGGAGGTCTGGATTCAATTACAGCTTTTCTGTATGCATAACATTTATTATATTTTTCAATTAAAAAGCCATTGATAGCCAACAGTACGTTCTTTCTACCCCTGCATCCAGAATAAGTGAAAAACACACACAGTATTCTGCTTATAATACTCCCAAGCGTTACCTGTAAATTAATAACACTCTTACTGTTTCCCACCAGTCTTGAAGTAACCAATGCTCTGGTTCCAGGTTGAAGGAGGCAGATCATCTGAAACAGGACCTGACTGAGGCAAAGGACGCTGAGCGGAGAGCCAAACAGAAGCTGCTGGAGATCACCAAAACAACATACCCTGTATGGTGATGATGATAATGATGATGATGCTGGTCTGCTCTTTATGATACCTTTGTTATTTATTTTTGTGAGTGAATGCAACTTCTTAGTGTTTAAAATAGACTTGGGAGGTATCAATTTTTTCATACCTTCCAGAAATTTCACCAGGGTAAGTAGAATATGACGGTATTTGTGTTGGCATACATTAATTACCTGCTGTGCTTTGAAGGTAACTTATGTTAGATACATCAACTTTATAAATCCCCAATATGGCATGTAATCTGAACAGAAAATGAGGAAATATAAGCATGAATGCAATGTGCACCACCAACCGAGTTTTGAAGTGCTTTATTATAGGCTTGATTTAGTTGGATAAGAAGCTTGCTTTCATTTTTTGTTGTCGTTCAAAATAAGAGCTGTCAAAATGTAGTAACAGTACCATAAAACAAAAAAGTATAATGTGCATAAAGTTAAACTTTGAGATCACTGTCAGTTTTCGCCATGGTGTAACCACTGACTTGACACCCGTTTGCCTGTCTTCCAGCTCATAGCAGCCTACTCTACTCCTGCTCCCCCCGCTCCTCCTGAAGCAGCCGACTTTGCCTATGAATCGGCGTCAACGCGCCTCGACTTCAAGGACTCTGACATGAAGAGGCTGTCCATGGAGATCGAGAGAGAGAGGTGAGTTTAAATCCCCTGCGGCAACACTTTAGAAAGACAGCTGAGATGTGCTCGTGTATGATCTCTTGTCACGGGTCAATGCAGGCTGGAGTACATGGAGAAGAGTAAACACCTGCAGGACCAGCTGAAGGAACTGAAGACAGAGATCGAGTCTCTGAAGCTGGAGGAGCAGCAGCAACAGGCTGGCCTCTACAGCCTCCGCAATGAGGCAAGGGGATACATCCAGGAGCCTGTCTACATACCTCACAGCAACGTACGCATGAACACTTCATATGATCTTCTTCTTAGTGTTGATATTACTAATATTATATGTTTTAGTGATGATTGGTTGCCTTTCAGAATGTCTTAGTAGTGTGTATAAACCTGTGGATCTAGCTAATACTATCGTTTCATAATAACATGCTTACATGTAAACCACAGCCAGTTTACTTCACTTTCTGACTTTTTATTTGCATCACCCAAAGCATAATAGGAATTGTAGTGCCAGAAATATTTCTTCTAAATGGAAATAAGGAAAACACTGTGTCAAAACCCATGATAGTGATGTTTTTTTGTTTTTTTTGACAGTACAAAGATGTTAAATACACCAGAAATCTAGAAGTCATTACTAATACCAGTAGAATTCCACAATCTCGATACCCAACTTGATACCACGGTAAAAAACAAACAAATTCATGAACTTAAAAGTACACTCCTTAATTAAAACATTACCACCAGTTGATGTGGTTTTGTTAGATTTCGAGGGCAAGGAAACATATTAATATATAGCCTGCAGTATTTGTAACCTATTTCTTCACCATTGATTTTAATGATACCAATGCAGTCATCGATTGTGCTTATTCCTTCAACTCTTTATCGATTCCCTTAATGATTCCTGATCAGTTGTCTGTGTGGGCGGCCCATACAGGTTTCAGGGTCAGTGCAACAGTTTTATAATCTCTGAGCCTGAACACAGTGTTGACACAGAGTAGAAAATAGGCATGCATACGACTCAGGTGGGCAAGAGCTCCACTGTTGAACAGTTTTCTTTGTTAAAGAAAAACCTGCTAAGCCTGCCTGAGTGGCATAAATGTTATTATAACAGGATATTTACCCTGGGAAGCAGTGCGACACGTGCAGCGAGTGTCAAATACATGACATTCCTGGAAATTTAAGCCCATGTTGTGTGGAGAGATGTTTCAGCACATTGCTGGTTTTCCACACTTATTGATATTATAATTTTACAGACATGGCAAACAGCACTGTTGTAATCTCTCTTTGACAAATGAAGTCATGCTTTGGACCATTTTATCCTCTCGCCCATGTTGCGTGTTTTCAGCAGCGTAGACCCATGTGTTTGGCATCATTGTCTTGCAGTGCACAACTGTCAGAAAAGCATGTTGGCATTGCTAAAATGCAATCCGCCCATTTTCCCCTGTGATTGGATGGCTGGATAAGAAGTGACAGTAACGAGTGCAGTGTTTTGCCCAAAATTGAACAAAAAAAACAAAACAAAAAAAAAGCATAGTGCAAATATGCGGCACTCGCCTTGCAAAAAAATCTAAATAAATACACAGGCCTTAGGCAACAGAGCCTTTCTTTTCCAAACGTTGAGGCGGAGCTGTCGCTGCAGCTGTACTTTCTCTGTTGTTGTTCTTCCGTGCTTATGGCTTGTAACTGCAGACACAACACTTGTAGGCATATAAGTAGTGAAGAAAAACGAACACCAGCACATTTTAAGAGTTTTGGCATTGACTTGGTAGCCAAGTCTCAGTTCCCCTGACATTCCTACTCTATACATTAACAGATATCTTTTGAGTCAAACCAGCCAAAAGTTTAATGGGTTCCTGGCTTAAATATTCTGTTGTGGGATGACAAAATATTCAAGATGTGATTTATATGAAATACAATAGTATTTGTTGTATCAGTAGTGACGTTTAGGAAACTGTACTTCTTGTTGCTCTCTCAGACGGCTCATACTCCTCTTGTTTTGCAGCGAAACTCTGCGTACATGTCTCAGATGGCCTTCTTTGAAGAAGTGTGATCCTGCGAGATGAGGAAGGAGGGCACCGGCTGTTGTGACTCAGTGCTTTCTCCAAATGTTGGGTTAATTTTTTTACCTGGCTGAAACTAACAAACAGACACTCACATACACCACGACTGTGTGCTTTGGAAAGACTTTAAATCAATCCTCGACAACAAACAGCCACTTTGGGCTCCCTGCACAGGTTGTTACGCTAGATTGTACCACCTGCTACACTACAGCGCCTTCCGCATTTCTTTTTATATATAATGAACACATTAATGTGTGTATCTAACACAGATGCAGGACATGGTGCTGAAAATGGATGTATGATGGAGTTGCTGATGTTTTTGTGTGTGTGTGTGTGTGTGTGTGTGTGTGTGTGTGTGTGTGTGCGCGTGTGTGTGTGTGTGTGTTTGTGGTTTTAAGGGATACTTAGCTGTAAGGTGGTCTGATTTAAGTTCATAACTTAATCACAAGTTATAAATGAGTGCCTTGACAACTTTTTGGGATAGGGATCGGGGTTCAGATTTATCAAAAACCGGCTTTAGGCAAGGTTCCTGCTTCGCATGTAATTAAGTAAATTATCTTATTCAGGCTGGGGAATTTCTGAAAAGTTAAACATATCAGTATAGATTTTGTAGATATGGTCATTTTCTTTCAAATCAGCAAAGTGCCTCTCAAATTTTTGAAAACAGAATGTCAAAGAAATCCAAATGCTCAAATTTCTGATTATACTTTGACCAAACTATCGTAGCTTTGAACGCTAAAATTCCACTTAAGACAACTCTTGATTAGTGATATGTAATATGAGGATTAACATTGTGATCTTGTGCATAAAACTAATTTATAAAAGTAGTAATTGCAACTCACAGAAAAGTCCAAATTTGACAAGCAGACATGTGCAGGGACAGTGTCTAGATGTGACACTCCATAAAAAAATGCAGTGTTTAATCTTTGTTTTGGTCTTTTGCTTGTGATTGTTTGCTGTTTCTGTTACTTGGTTCATGAACTGCCTTCACTGATAACAGCAGTCTGGTGTCTTCATCGTCCCTAGTGCCTCATGGTGGTAGTTAATAGAAATGTAGAATACAGTTACAAGCTTGAGCTCTGCCATTTCAGATTTTTATATTTTGTACGCTAGACTGTTGATGTGCCTTGGACTTTATTTTTTACTATTGTGATCTGAGTTGCTAAGGTTTTATTTGGTATTGTTGTACTCATGTGTCTTAGCAGTAGTATGGGGTCATACCCTGACCTATTTACAGAGTAGCAGACTGATGGCTTTCCTGCTTCCTTTTTTGTGTTTTCTCTGCTCATGTACTTCTCAGGGTTAGTGTTGGAGACAATCACTGCAGGTAGACTCTTTTGTTCTTCCCCTGAGATAAACAGTATCTTTTAATGTTTACCTTTTTGAACAGGCTATTTTCAGTTAACTTAGTCCAGTAGTATTTCACAGAGTTTTTGACAGCAGTGTGTGTGCTGCATTTCACAGATAAAAAGGTAGGTAATCTGAGTAAACCTTTAATCGACTACATTCCTCATTACATTCTTAAAAAGGGAGAGGCTGGATGCCAAATATACAGCCGGAGATTCTGCATGTTTGTTTATTTGGACCGGCCTGTGACAAACAATGGTTGCCCTCATGATTGGGTTATAAATGAGAAATGCTCACCTTGGTCTTTTCTAAATGATATTGTGTCAAATGGCCCAGTGGAAGTGTTTTTTTTGGGTTTTTTTTCATCAACACATTGCTTAAGTGCTTCGATTTGCATCTTTAACTTTATTTATTTGTGCTATAAATCCTTAAATAACATCACCATGCCTGTTTTCTTGAGCTCTGTCATTGTGTGGGAATTTCATGTTCTTTTTGTTTTTCAGAAATGGGATTTTCCTGCCAAATTCGAGTCCAGTGTAAACAGTGATTTTCACTCAGAACATGATTGTACATTAGGGGACGCCTTGGGTTTACGTTGAAGTGACAAAAATACTACAATTTCACATCGAAGTTGTGTCAATGATTTATTTGGTTTATCAAGTTATATCAGTTCATTACAACAGTGTATGTGCAGACATAAATGAGCTGTCTCACAGATGATTTATTTTTTGCTTCCTCATGTGTCAATAAAACCAGTCGTCTTAACTACAGAGCAAAGTCCACACAATCCTCTACATTTTTTACAATTTATTTTAATATTAGAACATGCTTAGAAATTCATAATGTGCACCAAAATACACACATGTACAGACAGTGTTAATGTCTGATTGGGTGATGTTGGCTATGATATTTGCAGAAAAATCAAATCCTGCCCAGCAGTATTGGTCGTTTGTACACAATGTCATAATCAGGTTTTGCCATTTCCAGTGATCATGTCACTGACTGTGTTTACATGCACAAAATGTTCTGGATTTTGCACTTATTCAGAAGAACACAATATTCCTACCAAGCTGTTTACATGGCCAATAAAATAATAATATTTTGGTAATATTCCAGGTTACATGCAGCAATGCAGAATCTGTTAAACCTGCTGTTGAATGTCCTTCATCATGTCAATATATATATATATATACTATACTATAATATAGTATAGTGAAACAGCTGGAGCCACTTGTGGCATTTGCTTCTTTGCATCAGAATAGGAAGTTTCCACTGGTGGCCAACTTGTTTGATCATGCAAACATAGCTTCCCTCTTTTATTAATTAAACCACCTTCTTTAACAGGTAAGTGTTGAGATCTCCATATCCAAGTCTTTCATAACGTTTCAAAGTAGGTGTGTTGTTCTGACCAAAAATGTGGGCTTTCTTTTAGGCATGCATCTCTATCCCCCAACCTTGTGTGTTGGTTTGTGTACGATGCATCCATGACAACGCACAGAGCTGACTGTAAACATGCAAGACGCCATGTGTTGCAAACTGGTACAAAACTTAAGTTGAATTCCAAATGGGCTGTATACGTGTCCAAAGAATGCCATTAAAACCCAAATAATACCAGCACATCTCAAGTCTCAATCGGAAAATGCTACATTCACACAAAGGCCTAAATTGGAATATCCAAATGGAATATGCTGTTCACATGACCTGCATCAAATTCAGAACATTGTTAAATTCAGAATAATAGTGGAATATTGGTGTGCATGAAAACATAGCCACTGTAGTGCAGTCATCAGGTGAGTTGCCACCAAATGTTAGATGTTTTGAAAAGCTGTTACGAAGGACTGGACCCTAAAATTCAATAGAGGTAGCAAGTCTGCACTTAAGTGTTATCAGTAGGTCACAGATCTTTGCAAATCCAGCAAATTAATTTTAACTTTAAAGACATTACATTGCTATTTATAGTATTTAGTGGCAATCAAATGCAACCAATTATCACAACATACAGCAGTTTCTACCAAATCCTCTTTTTATTTTCAACACAGTTTGCGTCAGACAGATTAGTTTTTCTGTTTTTCATAGATAAAGTGAAATCAAAAGGAAGACAGCCTATCAAGAGCCAACAGCTGACTGCTCAGGAACTAACCTGAAGCAACTTTTTAGCACAAAAAGGGTTTTCAAATGGGGAGATACTGTACATGTGACCTGCAGAGAAACACTAATATTGCAAAGACACGCTCATTTTGAACTAACACTAATGTAAACTGCAAAGTGTCTATGCATTCAGAAATATTCATATTAAAACATTGTAAAAGGCATTTTTGTGGTCACTTAGATTGTTTGGATTTGTGTGAAATAAAATGAAAATGACACACTCCATTGAGTTCCAACCTGGCCTTCAACGGAGAAACAGTGAAAACAGAGCAACAGCCACTTACAGCAGAACACAGAATAAGAGCTCCATATTTGTGTCTTTCAGTCACTTGGGCAGGTGCAGTGTGAAGACGCTGGCCAGCAATATTGTTCAATAATATTGGCTGTTCCGAATATTGTTCGGAACAGCCTAGCACGAAGGGTGCTGCATCACCAGTGTGCTCTCAGCAGAGTCCTGCGACAAGCCCTTCTGGACCCCAGAAAGGAAAACAAGGAGCTGGCTGCAGAAAATGCGGCTCTGAGGGAGAGGACAGCCAGCAGGGAGCTCAGCTGGGAGCAAGAAAAAAAGGTGCTGCTGGATGAAAGGGACTCTTTACTTTCCACTCTGAAGGCTTTAGAGCCCACAAGAGCCGGTCAAAAACAGTTCCATACTCCGTGCGAGGAGATTAACAGATTATTTAGAGAAAAGAAGGAGGAAATCTGCTCTTTAAGAGACCGTCTGCACTTCCAGAAGATGGAGATGGAGAAGGTCAAGAAATCCTGGAAAGTAGAGCAGGACCAGTTCAATGAGATGAAACCTTCCTTTGACAAAGTAGCGACACAGTTAAATGAAGAGTGGGAAATGCGGTGGATTGTTAGACAGAGGGAGACAGCCACCGAGCTGGAGACTCTGCAGCAGGGCTGTGAGAAGAAGGTGAGCCAGGTCATCCAGGACAAGGATGATCTGATGACCAGTGTCAGAAAGGGAATGATGGCATTGGAAGAGGGGAAACGTGGCCGAGCTGAGAGCAAAGGAGATGGTTACACCACATCAGCTGATCATTCTCAAATGAATAATAACTTGTTGGATTATGACATATATTTCAGATTCAGCCTTTCAGAGAAAATACTGAATTATATGCTGTCTCTGCCTTTTCAGCAGCTCGCTTTAAAAATGGACAAAGAGAAGGCAAAGATGAAAAAGGAGAAAAAGAGTGCAAAGATGACGACAGGAAAGATGTTCAGGATTCTGACTTTATTCTCAGAATGCAAATAATTTTTTTCACAGGTGGCACTTTGGGCCTCTTAGTACTAACTGAGCATGGTTTAAACACCACAGCCTACCTGAGTATTGTTGCTGACCGTGTCCATCCCTTTATGACCACAGTGTACCCATTTTCTGATGGCTACTTCCAGCAGGATAATGCACCATGTCACAAAGCTCAAATCATCTCAAACTGGTTTCTTGAACATGACAATGAGTTCACTGTACTCCAATGGCCTCCACAGTCACCAGATCTCAATCCAATAGAGCACCTTTGGGATGTGGTGGAGCAGGAGATTCGCATCATGGATGTGCAGCCGACAAATCTGCGGCAACTGTGGGATGCTATCATGTCAGTATCTCTTAATCTAATCTAATCTCTGAGGAATGTTTCCAGCACCTTGTTAAATCTTTGCCACCAAGAATCAAGGCAGTTCTGAAGGCAAACGGGGTTCAACAGCTGCTATACAGAGGTCAGCCACTCAAAACAAACTGTATAATAATAAATACTGTATAATCAACAATCTAAACAAACCTTCACCATGTGAATCGTTCAAATGCTACAAGAGGGTTTCTACCTTGTATCTAGTGAGAGTGTATGATTATCAGACCCCCTGACCTTTGACCCCTGACCACAGTTGAGCAATCTGAAGGTCTTATACATTTTCCAATGAGTTACAGTAACTTGTTTTACCACCAGAGGGTTCAAGAGAGCAGATATTAACTTTCTCTGGGCTTCAGAGATTTAACAAATAATTTACAAGATAAAACATGATATAAGATGCAAAAGACTATCATCACGATGTTCTGACAGAGGACAGTTTTTATATCAGTTTATAATATATCAGAGAGAATGAGATGAGTAGTGAGACAGAGCCTTCTCTGAACTGATTCAAATAACCCTCAGTCACACTAAAAGGCCTCAGCATTAGGATAAGTGTGTTTCTGTGACTGTTTGTCTGTGTGTGTATTAATAAACAGGGTGTATGCACAGCTGTGACTGCATGAGAGGGGATTATAGTCAAAGTGTTGCAGCAGCCTGTAGCAGCTTGTATTTTCTCAGCAGCACAGAGATCTTATTGAATCATCTGAGGCCTTGACTCAAACTATCAAACATAAACACTTGTTGTTTTTCCCATTGGTTCAGCCAGCTGAAGTTTGGAGACTACATAAGACAGGCCGACTCTACCACTGTACCTTTGTGAAGACGTGTAAGTGGACAATGAGGGTTGTTGTTGGTTTGCTGTTGTTGCTGCTGGCTCTGTGTGGGTCAGGGGCTCAGGGGGAGGGTGGAGGCCTCGGACAGGTGGGTGAGATCAGTGAGTTTCAGGAGACAGCTCCAAGAGATGCAGCTGAGGAATCCGCTGAGTCAACCACAAAGCAAACCACCCACATCTGGGCAGAGGTGAGGGCACTGAGAGACATGGTGGTGGAGCTCAAGGTGTTCGTGCAGCTGCTGCAGTTTTATATGAATGTGGTGTGACTTTAATCAGTACACTTGTAAACACATCAAAAGTATGAAAGAGAGATATCAGCACTAATAGAACGAGGGAGGTGATGGTCTTTGTCACAGTTTATATAATGAATGATGGAAGTTGCCGTTTTGAAAAAGCATGAGGGTCAGGTTACTGTATATAACTTGTTGTGCATGTTAACAGTCTGCTCTGCTCTGTAATTAACTGTCACTGCATTAACTCCAGACTTACAGACCAGACTGAGCAGCAGTGAGAGTGAACTTCTCCTCAGCAAGTCCAGGATTGACCAGCTGGAGAGAGAAAATGCAGGTGATGATTGTAACACACACACACACACACACACACACACACACACACACACACAATTTTAATGACATAATTAATGACATGATTTACTTTTTTTGTGTTAACAGAGAAACCAAAGGTGGCCTTTTACACAGCTCTGACTGATGACAGAGATCTAGGACCATACAACACCAACATTACACTGAAATACAGCAAAGTCTTCACCAACATTGGCAATGCTTACAATCCAGCTACAGGTAATATACTGCAGGTCACATGATCATGTGTGGTCTAATAGATCTACATGAACATGTTGTTACTGTTTTCCATTTTCTATTTTTACTCCATAGGTTTCTTCACAGCACCAGTCAAAGGGGTCTACTATCTCCAGTTCACTCTGTGTGGTAGCCAGGCAGGTCTTATGGGTGTGTATGTGTACAAGAACAACCAGCGGATCATGTCTAATGTCGAGCGAAAGGAAGACATAGGTTCTGAGTATTTGACTAACTCTGTTGTCTTGGAGCTGATGACAGGAGATGAAATTCACCTGGTTCTCCCATCAGGCCAGTCTGTCTTTGACAATGAGAATAACCACAGCACCTTCAGTGGCTCTCTTCTCTTCACACTGTGAGGGTGTTGTTCAGGCTGATGTGTGATTGACTTGTCACACACTCTGTTGTGCCTCCAAGACAAACATCTGTACATTTACTGTATGTATCAAATAAAGTGATTCTGACCTCCTTCTTGTGTCATCACATCAAAACAACACTCAAATAAACCCAAGACTAATTGAAGTTCTGGTTGTCATCACTGAGTGTATGTCTTCATACATAAAAGCTATATTAGAAATTTCCATGAACTTTTAGATTCAAATCTGAATCGCACCACGCTGTAAAGCCTGATTGAAATTTTTCTGATACACCACATGAGCCACATTAACCCGAGTTGGGATGTAGGCTGGTAAAAGAAAGAGACAAAATCTATGTTGGAAACTGAAATGTCAGACATTTGTAGAGTTGTGGAATTCTTAAAGTATGGAATCTTGCAATGATATACAGGTTAACCACAGGATGGCAGCGTTTGTGTTCATGTAAATAATTTTTATAGGCAATCATTGATCTTACAGACATCTTTCTAGTCAAAGATGTGCACTAATACATCAAAAAATCGTGTTAAAAACAAATATCTGTTCATCAATGCATCAAAATACAAAACAAGCAACAACTATGTACAGACACAGTGGATCAATGGTGTTCTAAGCCGAGAGTGAAGTCACAGTGCCTCTGTGTGTATTAATCTGAGTTTCTCTGTTCTTTGCAGAGGTGAAAAAAAAGTACTAGAATATTGTACTCAAGTAAAATTAGGCCTACTGTTGAGTGGCATCACTCGGTTACGTGTGCTAGTGGAATAACATTAGCAACATGACTCTCCAAACCAACAGTACATTCAATCTCTATAGACAGCACTTCACAGCCTGTACATACAACTAATTATCAGCTAGTTTTAATTAACCAGAAAAGAGACACCCCCTGCATAAATGATCAACAATAAATTAAAAGTCTTTGGACACCAGACTTGCAAAGAGCAATATTAAGATACACAAATCAAATAACTCGACACTACTTATAGAAATAGCAGACTTGCAAAACACATGTACACATGTACTCTTGTGTCCTGTCAGCAAAGTTCAAAAGCAAATTGTGCTGGTGTTGTGTGATAATACATGCAAATAACATAAGATGCTGTAGCTATCTTTTTGGCAAACAGAAATGTCTTTGATGTTAAATATAATCAGATATTTCCCACTGGATCACTACAAATCTCTCTTAGTATGTTGGGGACAGATAGATGAACAGATAGATGGAGATTTATTGAATTATTCAACAATTTGGTGCAGTATATTTTTGATCTGACGGGGTCTAATGTTTTTGTGTGCACCACTAACCACGAGATGGCAGTGTTTTTATAGTGCTATGAGACAAGCATGAACATCAGTCCTGATAAGTGGCCTACTGGTGGGTCAGAACTACAGAACTTTATTTCAAACATTTTTGGCTTTCTTCAGTGTAGTTTTATTTTTAAATAACCTGCTCATGTATGTAGATACAATTTTAGGAGTTTTTGTCAATCTCTCCAAAACACAAGGTTGTCTCTTAAGTAAAACTTATGTGTTTAAGACAACTGTCAGGCTGAGATTATGACTAGATATGAATGCTACTCCACATCTGAATTTACAAATCCCCAACAACAGATGTTTCATAAACCTGATTAAAAGACAGAGTCTGAATCCTCCACAAACACACCGTGCCTCCCTCCTCTAACCCTGCACACCTGCGCTGTCAACACACTCTCTGTCAAACCAGTTTGTCCTGTAGATTTTAATAGCCAGAGAGAGGACTGAAAGTCCAGGGGGATGCTGTAAACTATAGAGCAAAGGTTCTTTTCAGGTCATGTGTGACATGTTAACATGTTTAAAACATTTAGATCAGTGAAAAAGACTGGCTCGATTATATTACAGTCATTTATTAAGAAGTAGGTACGCAGATATTCACCAATAAAATCTGTACATCAAAATAAACATAAAATCTCATTTCACAGTTGTGACAAAAATATGTAGAGCTCATCAAATGAGCACACATGCTTGAGTATAAAATTCCTTAGTATCAAGTTAATGTAATGATGGAAAATAGGCTCAAATTTGTTGCATTCAGGGTGCTGTACATCCAGCAGAAACAAACAAGCTAATAAGTTTGAGGTAAAATTTGTACTGCAGACGGAATCATCCTCATTTAGTGCATTTAAACAGTGAGAATGAAAAATAGTTGATATCAGTGTAATGCTCCACATTAACAGGTCGAACATAACATGCCAAAACAAATGTCAGTGATGTAGAAGTCCATTTCTTAAAACAATGACAAAGATAGCATACTTCATTTGCACCAGGATTGATTTTGTCACTGTATTTGCTCTTAAACTCAACTTAAGCTGCTATTCTCCTTCATATTAACAAATGTAGACCAAACCTTTTCCCTTCTGTCCTTCTATCAAAGCAACATGGTGAAGTATGAGGATAACTGTAGTTAAAAACCATGAACTACTTTGCATGTAAACAGTCACAAAATAAGTGAACTACTATTTCTAAATAACTCTTAGTATGAAAGACTTCTATTGTGTGTGTAAACATAAGTAAGTATAGATGTGCTCTGCATTTGTGTGTGTGTGTGTGTGTGTGTGTGTGTGTGTGTGTGTGTGTGTGTGTGTGTGTGTGTCCATTTTATAGGTATGTTCTTGCTGGATTTGTGGACACGTCCTCATTGTCACTCTTGACTGATAAAGTCTCTTCCATCTCTGCTCGTTTGAGCTGAGACTTTGTAGACGGTGCCTCACTGTATTCAGACTTTGTTGACTCCGGCCTTTTCAATTGAGACTTCGTTGATGGTGCCCATGATGTCTCTGACTCAAGCCTCGAGTTTTGCTCGGACCCATCCTCCCAGGGAGGCCTTGTGTACAGCGGGGGCTTTGTCGATGCCCCATCGTAGCTCTGAGACCTGGGAAATACCGCTCCAACAGGCTGAGCTGTTGCTCTGCTGCGCTGAGAGCCAGTCTGGTGGGACCCGTTGGAGGAGCGGACCACCAGGTAGCGGACAGAGGGGCTCTTGTCTGCGTCGTGGGCTTTGAGGGGGCATGTTGAGCTGATGAACAGACCCCCTCCCAGAATAAGCAGGATGGATGCTCCCCAGCCGATGTAGAGGCAGGCTCCAATCTCCCTGCGCTGAGCATCTACAGAGGCACTGTAGAACTTCCTCACCACAGCCCCAGCTGCCCACGAGGTGGGAATCAAACACAGCAGCCCTGTGACAATCAAAACTGCCCCTGCTGCTACAGCCACCTTGCCCTTAACCCCACCTCCTTCTTCATCCAAGAAGCGAGTGCACTTCCCTCCAACAAAGGCCAAAATGAGGCCTATGCTGCCCGTAGTAATGGCGAGGACGATGAGTGCCCTGGCGGCCTGCAAGTCTGCGCTGAGAGCAAGGAGAGACTCATAAGGTTTACACTGGAGCTGCCCTGTGCTCTGGACCACACAAGTCATCCAGATCCCCTCCCAGATGGTCTGGGAGGTGACGATGGTGCTTCCCACGAAGGCCGTGACCCGCCACATGGGCAGTATACAGCTGATGATGACCCCTGCCCACCCCGTGAGGCACAGGGCACTGGCGAGCATCTGTATCCCCATAGAGGCCATGATGCAGAGGTGGTAAAGAGATCTCTGAGGCTGCTTGAGAAATCCTCACAGACTGGTGAAAAGTGTTCTGATGTTTTTATGTTTCTCTGTGGAGCTTTTCTTACTTTCACTCCTGGTGACTCTTCTCCTCTCTTGTATTTCTCCGTGAGCTTTTGTTTGTCTTTCTCAACGTGTGATGTTGCCGTTGTCACATGCCTCCATTTTCTCTTCCCACAGTTGCAATGTTGTTTAAGTATCTGTCCCAGGAACGCAGAGACTTCTCTGGCTATTTCAGTTGCCCGTCTGGCCTTCAGCAGCTTTTACTTGACTCCAGGTGTGTTCCTGTTCAGTCTCAGTTCATTTGTTTACAGCCTACTTTTCCTTTGTCTCTGCCCCTCCTCCTTTGTATCCCTAACTGCTGTCCTCTCCTCCCCCTCTGTCTCCCTCTGTCCCCTCTCTCTTTATTTCTCTACCTGAGAGTTCTCTTTCTTTTCTGTCACCTGAGCGGCTGCCTGTGTGCTACTGGCCAGGTGCACATGCACCACACCTACTCTATAGGGAAACAAAAGGGGAGGAGGTTGACAGAAAACCAGAGCAAGAGAGAGAGAGGTAGCTGTGAAACCGTGACATCATATTCCCTCCCTTATTATCTTTGTCTGACAAGATTATTTTGGAAACGATGAGCTTTAGATGAGGCAGAAAGAACGATAGACCTCTGGGCTTCAAACATGTTTGAAGATAAACACTCATGAGACATCGTCTTGATTCTGTCACACACCATCTTTCTGTTGAAACGCTGAATTGGATTGAACATTTTAAAAAAAAGAGGGATTTGATTTGGTTCAAAAGTTAATACTTGTGTGGGCTCAGTGTGTGTGTGTTGCATCCTCTGGCAAGACTTTTGTGCATGTAAATTATGCGTGTAAGCAGAATGCATTCGTGTAAGCAGAAACGCAGGATGCAGAATGATGTGAAACACAATCTCCTGGGGGAAAACCAGTTTCATTCTAACAGCGGTGACTGCGCAGAAAAAAACCCTGTTTGAAACATGGAAAACCTGTCTCTCTCCACACACACACACACACACACACACACACCCTAGCCTTTTAATGAGGCTCAAAATAATCTTTAATCTTGCTGTCCTTGTAAAGTTCAGAGGGATACTTTGTTCTGTCTATTCATTTTGCCCCTCACAACATTTATGACAAACTCAATTTTAATTTCTGTACAATTCCTTACTCTTAAAGGACACAAGAAATCTTGCTCTCTTGTGCAAAAGTTTACAAACCTGACCAGTTTTACAGGAAAAAAGAGGGATTACTACACACACACACACAAACAGACAGGTATCACTCAGTCTCTTTGTTTATTTAACAACGTCTCTTTGGCAGGAAGCTCACATTGTGACACAACCTGTTTGCAAGGATTCTTTCATGTACACTGGAAAAACCAGATCCACAGTTCAGCCAGTTCTTTGGCACGTTATCCCTGTAACTGTTCTTCCCTTCAAAGAGAAAAAAACACAGTGACAGGAGGTCTCAAGAAAACAGTCTCACACACTCACAGCAATGCGTTTTACAACTGATTTAAATGTTAACAGTATACAGATAAAAACACTGACTCAGAAAGTTATATTCAAACAGCTTCTTAGTGAATCACTTACATAATCATTCTAATTTGATCGAGAAATAGCAGAAATCATCAGATTTCAACAGAAACAGTGACTGCACAGGCAGATTTCATATAAATAGATAATGTATTTCACATATAGCAGTCATATTCTGAATCTCTCATGCCATGGAGAACATCATGTGTGAGTGTTTGAAACATAAACAAAAAACTGTATGAAAGTGTCCAACTTATAAGATAAAAAAATGCACATTTTACAACATTTATGATTCTTATGGATGTTTTTAAGACTAAAACACATGCACAAGTTACACGTTCATATTGCAAAAGTTCCCAACCACATCATAAACATTATTTTTCTGAATGAACTTATCCTCATGGGACAAACAGAAGGTAAAACTTTCCTAAACTCTTTGTCTTATCACTTTCTAACAGACTGTCCCAGTTCTGCTTCTCACTGAAGATCTAAACGTAGGCCTTGCTGCTTTCCATAGAGCGAGCCTTGGCGTACTTCACATCATAGTCATTCTCATCTCTGGGGGGACAGGAGCTGCAGAGGAGGCCCCCACCCAGGAACAGCAGCCCCGCGGAGCCCCAGCCGATGTAGAGCGAGGCTCCCAGCTCCCTCCTCTGAGCGTTGGTCATGATGGGGTTGTAGAAATCACGAATGATTGTGTTGGCGGTCCAGCAGACGGGGATCAGCACCAAAAGGCCTGCGATAATAAAGACAATTCCGGCAGCGATGGCCACTTTGCATTTTTGCCTTTCGTCCTCCACAAAGTTGGTGCACTTGCCCCCGACCACACCAAGAAGGATCCCAAAGACCCCAGCGATGATGGCGATGATGGTGAGTGCTCTGGCAGCCTGCAGGTCTTGGGGTAAGGCCAGGAGAGAGTCGTAGACTTTGCACTGCATCTGGCCTGTACTCTGGGTCACACAGTTCATCCACAGACCCTCCCAGATTACCTGAGAAGTGACGATGTTGGCTCCAATGAAGGCTGTGACTTTCCAGGTGGGGAGAGCGCAGATGATGATGCTGCCCAGAAAACCGATGATGGCCAGGGCCAAACCCAGAATCTGTCTTCCGCCAGACACCATGCTGAAGCTCTGTCTGTCTCTTCAAAGAGGTGAGCCTGCGTGCTGCAGAGAGCTGGAGTAATTCGTCTGTGAGGAGCGGGCAGAGGTTTTTATTGCCCACTTAGAAGAACAGGGCTACCTCACTTACAGGTTTTCTGTTGTTGAGGGAGAAGTCAGAGGAGGAGTTTGCCGCCGTCGCCTCTCAGCTGAAACTGGTTTGTGGAGAAATGTCACCTGACCAGATTTCCTGTCAACAGAGATGCACATAGAGCCCCCATAAGGTCAAATATCACTGAAATACAGCACGCAGACAATTTGTCTCTCATCAACACACAAGCAAGATGATTTTGAAATAATTTACCAGTAATGAAGACACTCAAACTGTGTTTATTTGGAGGATATAAAAGACTCAGTTTCAGTCTTAGTTTCTACTTTATTGTGATTCATTTCAAATTAAATGAAACTGTTTTTCACACCTGTGAGAGCATCCAGGTGTGATTTATTACTCATGTCACCCAGTACAATTATTCATGTTGCCTTAAAACAAAAAAAAAATCACCTCTTAAATCCTCAAGTAATGAAGCTCCTCTTGAGAAATCAGAATTCTTACAATATCAGTAACAGGTAACAGTCATCCACTGTGTGTGTAAATGCTCATGAGTCCCAGACAGAGCACATCACTTCCTGAGTGATTACACTCACGCCTATCGATACCAGTAGAGTACAATGACATGTAGGTGTTTGAATGCACACATGACAACATCCCCGCAGGGAAATTCCCTCCTGTTCTTCTCACAGCAGAGGGGGGTCAGCAGAGCACCGCCTGTAGATGTGGTCAGTGTTCACTATGCTGCTCAGTGACACAGCAGATAATGCAGCAGGTAATGTGCAGCAAAGGTTTTCCTCTAACGCAAATCTGACACTTCAGCAAGTTTGTGGCACTTTAAAGCTGTAGCAGAGCTTCAGTCATTCATTCACAAACCAGAAAAGAGTATGAAATAAGGGTAAAGTCTTTTCCACAGTCTTCAGATTATGATTGCTGTCTTACAGGCCTGTGATTTTACCCCTAAAATACAAATTGGCACCAGGCTACAGCAAAAGTGAGTATTCATACTTTTATTTTAATCTAATAAAAATCTATTTTTTTTCAAGCACAACTCAGAAAAACATGGAAATGTCATATATGACTTGTGTGCTACTATGTCAAGAGTGATGTTGCCATATATGTTACCTGTGAGGCAATATATTATTCTCACATACATGCATTGTCTGGATTTATGAAAATATATGTTCATAACATATATGAAATACCTATAGTAAAATCTGTATACAGCAAAATTTCAATTAAAAGTCCCTTTTACTAGCCCAGTGTGGCTACACGTTTTTACAAATAAACATCTTTCTCAATAAGAAGCCTGGTCTGGTTGCCAAGCAGTTAATTTTTTTGTTTGTTTGTTTGTTTGGTTTTTATAGATGTTCTTCGGGTGTATAAAACCGGGTTGTTGGCCACCTCAAATTACATGTCCAATTTCAACAGATCAAAAGAATTAAAAGGGTTTTTTTTAATAGAAATTACTCACAATTTTAAACAAATACTATTCATACTGGTTTAAACAAACAATTTGATTGTATTTTTTCATCTTTGCTGAGCAACAGTTTTTGTGTGAAAGGAATGAAAGGCCTGTACCAAATACAGACCTGGTGAATTCAGTGATTTAAACAAATAAAAGCCCGAGTTTTACAGTATGTAGATATATTAAAAAATATCTATATGATAGATTTTTATACAGTGTTTTATGTTGCTACTATATATGTTATGGATATACATTTAATTTACATATGCAAGTTTATTACAATAACATAATATACAAAAATAGGCAAGACATACATGTTAGTTAATAAAATTGTTTCAATAGGTTTCATTTTTCGTTTGTTATATATTCTGTGACTTCATCTGTAAATGCATTTCATATATGGAAATTCAATATTTGTCCATAGTATTACATTTCCATATTGGCATTATTGTATTATTATTTAAGTGTGGTTAAAGAGCAATGCAAGTTATAAAATTAATCTGTTAACATACCATTTAAATGACGGTATTGAATTGAATTTCACTAAATTGAAATTATTTCACACTGTTAATGGATGTCTTGTTTCATCTTGTACAGTACCAGTTCGTCATTGAGGTAAATTAAGTTTATGTTCAAACCTAAGACTCCATTTTTTTATGGCTGCACCATGAAAAATATACTGGAAGTGTTTGGGATATTTTGAAACTCCACTAGAATTAGAAAGCAAATTTTCCAAGTTAGAAAAATGTTTGGCTGCACAGTATGAGTTTGTAATGACAGCTGCTTGTAAACCCAGAAATCACAAGTAATAATAACAATGGTATCAAATTTTATTGATCCCTCCAAAGAAAAGATCAAGACAGTGAGCATTAATTAACATGTGAACAGAAACAATCAGTGACACAGTTAAGTGATTGCTGTGTTCAGTCGTTCTCAGAGCAACGATCCAGGCAAATCCATCCAGATTTATACAGAATTAAAATAATATTCACTGCGCACTGTTGTGGCTCTGCTGGGAATGTCACGCACCAGATTTGGATTCAATCCCATGACTAAGCCCTTTGCCTTGTCTGGTGTCCCTGATCTGTATGATGGATTACGACCAAATGTCCCCTGCTCAGATCTTGGTGGTGTCCGCAGAGGCTGATAATACCGCCCACTCTGAGCTTGATTATGTTCATGCACTTGGGCTTTGTGCTCTATCATCCTACTTGGCGTACGATGGTCAGACATCCTTGAGGAGTTTGGTCCTATAACATCAGACCTCAGAGTGGCCATGTGAGATGCAGGGCCGCTGTATTGAGTGTTGGTGCTGTACGGCATGTAGGTGTAACGGGGAGGTGGGTTTATCTGCTTCTCCCCACAGACGCAACAGATCAAGGCACCACCGAGCAGGAGCAGCGCAGAGGAGACCCAGCCTATGTAGATGGAGGAGCCCACCTCTCTCTTCAGGGCTGCAGCCACTAAGGGGTCATTGTAGAGTGAGATGGTTGCTGCTGCTGACCAGCTGACTGAGATCAGGCAGAGGATGCCTGCTAGGATGCACAGAGCTCCACCCACTAGACACACCTAGAAATACAAAGGATATCAGTGAAACCATATATATCTATGCTCAGTGAATATGTGCAGAAATTTTCAGATTATAACATATTAATGTTATTTTGATGGCCTCAGTTGTTTATAGAGAAATGAGTGAGACCATAAACTGGATGAATTAGACATGAATTAGACATTTTTACTTAATTTTAAGGCTCTGTTTTGCAGAAGGACCACCTTTAACATTTGTATTATTTATTTTGATATTATTCTTACACAGTGCAAATTCTTAAATACATTTGTGTTTCTTCAAATTACCACTAACATACAGGATCCATAGCCCATAGCTAATTTTTCACCAGAGGTCCTCCATTTGTGTTTTTTTTTTGGGGACAGTAGAATTCTTAAAAACTAAAATAAACTCATTGCCACAGTGTAAATATTATAGTGTTTTCTTGCAAATCCCCATAACACCCAGTCTACATGATATGAATACAACTTCAGCACTTTTTTGCTGGAGGAAGAGTTGGTTGGAGGCTCTGAGGGATCAGGTGGAGCGCCACTACAGTTGACTACATCTCCTCCAAGCAGGGTGACGATGAAGCCCAAGAGGCCGGCGATGATGGAGATCAATGTGAGGGCCCGTCCAGCTTGGATGTCAGAGGTCATAGTGATGGATGTTGTGTGTCTCTTGCACTGCATCTGACCTGTGGCCTGAAAGATACAGTGTAACCACAGACCATCCCACACCTAAGACAGAGTCAGAGAGAGGGACCTTTCAGCAAGATATAAACAAACCAGACAAGATGTTCATTAAGTTTTGTTGTAGGTGGATTGGTCCATAAACTCTGTAGAGCTATTAAAAGAATACCTTTGAAAAACTCAACAGCAATGTCTCTTTCTAGAATTCATGAACTGCTTTTTCAAGATAATCCATGGACCTTGTTGTGAGCAGTTTAATGTAGGAACTATTTTCTTACTACCAAACTACACCCGCCAACCGGATCACCGTGCAGAAGGAAGCGTGCATCTTCTGCTAGCTCACCTAGCACCACTGTGGCAGCTCATGTTACAGCTCAGCCGAGGAGGACGCCATTGGTGTTTACATGTCGCATTGTCACAAACACGAGCCTCTCATTCATGAGTAGATGCTCACTTCCTATTGCACTGTGATGCAGCTGGTGGGTGTAGTTCGGAACAAAAAAACTAGCTCCCACATGAAATGCTCACAACAAGGTCTGTGGATTATCTTAAGTAACTGGGTCATGATATCTGGGAAGAGACATTGCTGTTAAGTTCTTAAAATGTATTATTTTGATGCTTTGGGCACCACAAGCTTAGTGCCATCTCGTTCCACTATATTCAAGAAAAGGCAGACATCTCTACGGTCAATATCCCCATCACTCTGCAAGTTACCCCAAAAAAATCCAGCTTGATAAATAGTGCCACAGATAAGAAGAAAAATATGTATTTTTGATTTGGGGGTGAACTGTCCCTTTAAAGCCCTTTTATATTTTATGTTGTGTCATTTTGTAAATTAAAGTGACGAAACCGAGCATTTAAATGTAATCTAGCATTGACAAATGTAAATTTAATGACTTTCGTGTTACATAGCCGACTCTTCACACTTTCATATCGACCCTCCATGCTTTGCTGAGTCTAACCCCCTCAGTTTCAATCTGTAAGGTGTATCTGTGGTTATGGACACAGCATGATCCCAGTTAACTTGTAGCATGTGAAATGAATTTCTCTGTGATGCATATGGACTTACCGATTGTGCTGTCACAATATTTGCTCCCACAAAAGATGTCTCGCGCCACATTGGCAGTCCACATGCCAAACACACTCCTAAAACACCAATCAGCACCAGTGCCAGACCCCCGATCTTCATACCCTTTCCTCCCATTTAAAAAATATTAGGTTATATAGCAATTAATTTTAAAAAGGAAGCTATTCCGCCAAAAGTATCCACTGTGACTCCAGAAAAGGCATTTCTCTGGTCTTGTTTTTGCTGAAATAGAGAGTTAACTGCTCTTTCC